TGTGTGTGTGTGTGTGTGTGTGTGTGTGTGAGAGAGAGAGAGAGAGAGAGAGAGAGAGAGAGAGAGAGAGAGAGAGAGAAGTTCAAGGCCTGTCTGGACTATGGAATGTGTTCAAGACCACCCTGGGCAACTTACCAAAATCCTGTCTCAAAATAAAGTGAAAACAAAACAAAGGAGTCAAGTAGTGGTGGCGCACGCCTTTAATCCCAGCAGAGGCAGGCGGATCTCTGTGAGTTCGAGGCCAGCCTGAGCTACAGAGTGAGTTCCAGGACAGCCAGGGCTACACCGTGAAACCCTGTCTCAAAAACAAATTAAAAATACAAAAAAACAAACAAAACAAACAAACAAACAAAAAAGCAAGGAGCTGGAGAGATGGCTCGGTGGTTAAGAACCCTGGCTACCCTTGCAGAGGACCTGGGTTCAGTCCCCACACAAGTCTACAACTCCAGTTCCACGGGTTCCAGAGCCTCCACAAGCACCTGTGTACATGTGGTAAATGTAAAAAAATGAATAAATCTTTTTAAAAACAAAAAGAAAAAGCCAAGTGGTACTGGTGCACGCCTTTAATCCCAGCACTCGGGAGGCAGAGGCAGGCGGATCTCTGTGAGTTGGAGGCCAGCCTGGGCTACAGAGCGAGATCAAGGACAGACAGAACTGTTACAAAGAGAAACTCTAACTCAAAAAACCAAAATAAGTAAACAAATAATAATAAATAAAAAATAAAAGAGGACTGGTTATGTAGTTCCATGGTAGAATGCTTATCTAGAGTGCTGGAGGGCCTAGGTTCAACCCTACCACGCATAAAAATATCTACCTTTACCTGACTCCAAGCCTACCATGAACTCAGTAGCCATCTTCCTGTGGCCTTCTGTCCCAGACCTCTCTTAACCTCAAGTCAGGCTATCACAATTCTCCTTGAGGGGTGAGTCCCTCGAGTCCTGCTCACCTCTCTGCCTTCAACGGCTGCTCAGCCTCTCCACCATTCCCATATGCATTAGCCACAGTCCATTCTCACGACTACTTTTCACTCACTGGAGAGATGTGGGGCCCGGCTTACCTTGGCTGAGCTGAGCAAGACGTGTGCCTAGGCAGACCCCCTGGGCATTGACTAGTGCTCCGGCAGAGAGCTGGAGCACCGGGAGGCCAAGGCGGGCTCGGAAGTCCCTGAGCTGCTCTTCCAGCTCATGCAGCCTCCGAAGCGCATCAACCTGTACCTGGCGCCGCCGCCGCCTCTGCTCTCCACTCAGGTCAGGGGCCAGGGCCAGGCGTCGGGCGGCAGCGGCGATCTGCTGCTGCACAGACACCTCCCGCTCCAGGGCCTCAAGAGCCAGTTCCTGCACGAGCCAAGAGGGGTGGCATGGGACTAAACGACAGACATGACGACCCAGAAGAGCGCGAAGTTGGCAGAGCCCCTCTGCACCCCAAGTGGGGCCTGTTCTTCCTGGGGGAGTCTGTTTGCCCAGGGAAGGAACTTCTTCATCCCCGGGGGGACAGGATGAGGAAGGAGGCCTGTGTATCTTCTAACGATAGGAAGCTTGTCTTGACACAGTTGGGGTCCAGTACTGCATGGGGAGTCCACCTGTTCAAACTCTTTCCCTCCTTAACTCCGCCCACTCCTGGCTGTAACCCCCCTCATCCCACCCTTCACCAGCACCATCTTGCTCCCACCCCCAACTGCTTCTTACCTCAGCAGGACACAAAGAGTGGTGAGCTGGGTTTGGGTGTGGTGGAGGGTAGACCCGAGCAGCAGGGGGCCTCCGGCGTACCAACTGAGGGCGTTCACCGGGCTCCAGGGGGCACTCGGGGGGCAGCTGGCCAGTTAGCTCCTGGAGGGAACGGGCACAGAGACTACAAGGGTCAGCTGGAGCGATGGCATAAAATAGTAAGGGTGCAAGAAACTATCCCTCCCAAGGGGCCTAGCCCTGCTCAATACGCCAGCCACAGGCCAATCTTAGATGCTGTTCCTCAAGGTACTACCTACTTTGCTTTGAGACAAGGTCTCTTTCTCACTGGCCTGGGACTTGCTGATTAGGCTAGCCTGGCTGGCGAGCAAGCTCCAGGGAAGCCATCTGGTCTCCACTTCCCGGCACTAGGATCACAAGTGCCGGCCACCACACCTGGCTAGTCTTTTTCCATAGGTTCTCCAGGCTGAACTCGGGCCCGTATGCTTACATGGCCGACTGAGCTAACTGCCCAGCCCCCGAACCCTATTATTCCTTCAGGAAAAGTGTGTGGACACTCACACTAGGAAGGGTAAAAGCAGAGCTATAGTCAAGTGTGGTGGATCACGCCTATAATTCCAGTTCTTGGGAGGCTAAGACATGAGCTAGAGATTACCGTAGGCTACAGTGCGAGGTTCTAGGCCAGCCTGGGCTACAGAGGGAGACTCTCTCTCAGAAAACAGATGAATGGCTAGACAGATGGACTAGTGGAAGGGAGGGGAAAATAATTCATCCTGTGTCAGTTTAGGATGGACTCTGTTGCCCAATTTTGGAAACAGCTTTCTCTTTTTTTGTGGGGGGGGGGGTTGGGAGGTTTTAAATTATTCACAAGTGACTATGGGTCTGCATCATATTTCATTGATTCTGTGCCCTCTAAGTCAAACTTTGAGGACGGAGAGGGTGACAAGACAACTCCTAACTCCCAGCCAAGTACTTAGGCACGCATCACAGCAGTCTGCCTGCCTAGGCAGCCAGGCTCTCACCCACTCTGTGCCTGATGGCCCTGGGGCCAGGCTCTCACCGCCTCCTGCAGACACACTTTCCTGAGCTCTTGAAGTTTCAGCCTCAGGGCCTCTTGCAGGGCCTGCCGCCGGTCAAGCAGCCCTCGAAGACGCTCTGACTTCACCTGGGGGGCTGCCTCCCCAAACAGGGCAGCTGCACAGGGGGAGCAAAGGTCAGGACAGCCAGAACATCCTGGGGCAACGGTGGGGTCGGGGACCACCCCCCCCCCCAAGCAGGCACACGGAGACGCTGGGCAGGGAAGGGGCAGCAGGAAATGGAAGCAGCCACTGACCTGGGGCATTGAAGGTAGGAGAGCTGATCAGCTGACCTTTGACTTCCATCCTTGTACTGGCTGGAGGCTATGGCTGACAGCTGGACAAAGCCTGGCAGCGACACAGCACAGGAGGCACTAAGGAGGCATACCCCACGCCGCCGCCACCGCCGCCGCCGCCGCCGCCACCACCACCACCACCACCACCACCCCGTCCCTGCCCAGTTCCCCTTCCCATGCTCCAGCTAGGAACAGAAGTACCCTGGGTCCCACCGGCCTACCTGGCCCGCCCGCTCCGATTCTGTGTCAATGTCTGGACCCACTTGGCCTGGTACTTTGGTTCCCTTCCCATTGAGTGCTAACACAGCAAGTGGGAAGCTGGGAAGACTCACGAGGCCTCCTCAGAGGCCCATGGGCCACAGCCGGGAGTCTCACCTGGGGAGAGAATTAACGGTACAGATTCAACTGAGTACAAGCAGAGTCAGCACTTTTCAGCCTTGGGTGCCTGGAACAGTTACTCGCTCCGTCCCAATGAATCTGGGAAACCCCGCGGGCAGGAGCTCCATCATTATTACCTTTCGAGACGAGGGAGGGAAAGCAGAGAGGTAAAATGAGTGCCCAGTACAGGGCATAGCATAGGACAAGTCTTCTGGTCCCATGCAATCCCTCAAGACAGAGCTCCAAGCGCACCAATTGCCTCTTGAGCACCTCGGTCATCTATCAGGCTTTAGGACCTTTGCCCAGGGTGTGGCCACAGTCTAGGGAGCTGTTTTCAACCTCTCGCCTCTGGAACCTTGTTTCTCACCTAACATTTTGCAGCTCTTTTGGTTTTGGCACATGGTCTCACTCTGTAGCCTGGGCTAGCCGGAAAGTCACTGGGTTTCAGCTGGTCTTGAACTCACGGCAACCCTCCTGCCTTAGCCTCTCACACGCTGGGGTTAAAGGCCGGCACTACCAAGCCCAGCTCATTCCGGGGCCTAAATGCCCCTTTCGGAGGTGGTCCCTGAGTGATGTCGTCTCCCAGCTCCTGCTGAACAAGAGCGAGTACCTCCCTGTGGTGCCATGTGGAGAGGAGGCATGGCTGCCCCGGTGGATTGGTAGCTCCAGCTCCCCAAAGACTGCTGCACACAGCAAGTAGTCCACAAATGTGTACCAGCTGGCTGGACGAGTGTGACCGAGCAGAGCTGGCTCTCGACTTGTCCCAATTCCATCCTGCGGCCCTGATGTGGCAAGGAGTGCCCCCTGACCCCAGGGTCCCTCCAGCCCCTCTTCGCTCCCACTCTGTTCGGAGGCTAGCACAGAAGTTGTCCTGCTGGGATGGCCGAGACGCGCCATCCAGCAGCCATAGATAACACATTATCTGCCTCCTTTTTTCTGTCCCTAGCAGCCCTGGATGACCATGGAGCCTGCTTTGGCTAGCTGCCAGCCCTCCTTCTGCTTCTCTGGAGTTGCTCGCTCCCTCCCACATCCTGCTCAGTCCCCAGCTGGGCAACCCGGTGACATCACCTCCCGCCACCTGTCCTAACCTCCAAGGCAGGTGACTGACTGGGAAGATCTAATGGAGACAGCCTTAGAGTTCCCATTTTAACCTACCTTGAAATTCCCAGCTTGGCATGATGTGCTAGAGAAGACCCAGACAACCAAGGAAGCCTGGCGATACGCTCCTTCCCATCTTCCCACCGTGGGGTATAATCAAACGGCCTATAAGGTACCCCGAGTTTCTCTGTAGTCTTCCTGACTGTCCCACAGGGTCTGTATCCCTCCCTCAAAGGACTCATGCACTACCTCAACATCAATGGGGAGACAGTCCCCAAAGCCGTTTCTACAAATCCAGCCAGTATGTGCCCTGCAGACGGTCTCCGAAGCCCACCCATCTGAGGTTCAGCACTCCAGCACGGCAGGGTTTCTTTGATGCCCCACCTCAGCTTCCTCTGTCCCTCAGCTCTTAGAACACCTGCTTCCCGGACCCATTTTAGTTTGGCAAACTTTCCCAAGGCTCGCCTGAACTCTCCTCCACGCCAACAGAAACCCAACTCCCCCGACCGCTGGGCCCATTCACCCGGTTCACCAACATCAGTCTCCTGCTCCACAGCCGCGTGCCTCAATCCCTCCTTCTTTAGCAAATCTGAGCATCCTGGAAGTCAACACAGGGTCCAGACAGGAACCCCGACTCCTCCCTGTCAGTCTGACCTCAGGGACATAGCGAGGGTATGAGTCATTGGGTCACTGGGCAGGCTAGACACAGGTCAACGCCCCACACCTCCACACCTGACTCAGGAACCTTTGCTTCTGCTCTGCTACGATCTGTACACTCGCCTTTGGGACCTAGGGCTGCCTCCCACCAAGACGAGAGAGTAGGAAAGCCATCCACCACCGGCCCTGCGTCACGTCACGAACGCACCCTCACACGGACCTCTGAGACCCTCCTGTCAGCCCCAGGGCCTTGTCTTCTCATTCTGTTGTCCTGTTGCTGGGATAGACTGCAGTAAGAGAGCCACAGAGGGCACATGTGGGGACACGGACACGGACACGGACACACACACACACACACACACACACACACACACACACACACACCCAGAGGCAGGCCCAGCAGGTTTTTCAGGTCTGCCCTTCTGACACCATAGCCGAGAAAAATTCCTGGCTGTAATGACTGTTTACAACCAAGATACTTCACCTGGGTGGCACTCCAATGCTGTCAATGAGAGTCCCCATTTCCACATCCTGCCACCACTTGAGCAAAGACACACACAAAGTCTGGACTGCTCCCCAGTGCTCCCCAAACATACAGCACATCCCCTTCCATCACTCTGGGGAACAAACAGAGGGAGGAACAGACGCCCGAACAACAGTGGTTTCTAAATAGTTCAGTTGGTCTTTCCTGAGCCGATAGCCCTGGTAAAAAAGGCCACCCTGAAAAGGGGAGAGGGAGCGAGGGATAGGGAAGAGAAGACGAGATGAGTCTCTGCCCCATCCCTCTTCCTCCATTTCCAGCCAAGAACCGCTCCTATCAAGCAAGGAGAATGTCCAGGGGGGGATCTGACACTACCCTCCCATCGCCACCTTGTTTTGTCCATGTACTCCTTCCACAGGGCACGCTCTCTGGATGATGACCTCCGGACGTTGTACCCCAGCCCGGCCCTCAATTCCTGTGCCTTCACTGCCGCACACCCCTGGCCCATTGCTCCGAGGTACTCACCAATGCCAGAGTGCTGGCTGAAGCTTCCAATAGCTGAAAAAGAGTAGTTGTCTTATCCAGGCCCTAGCTTTCCTGGCAGTAAGACGTGAAAAGCAGTGACTGCTGTCTTGGCTGCCTCCCACTAGGTAAAGGCCCAGCCTACCTGGACGGGAACTGGGCTGGCCCATACCTTTTAACCCTTACCTGCCTGCTTCCACGGCCAGGGCCACTCCTGGGGAGGCAGTCTCAGGGGCCAGGGGCCTCACTCAGTGCCCACAGAGTCAAGAAGAAAGCATAGAACTCTCTTCTCACTGCAGACACCTAGGACAGAACTGGGGAAGAAGCGCAAGGAGATGTGGGAGGAGCCCCTGCCTCTCCTACTACGGAGACTCCCCCAGGTCACTGGAGTCTGCCTACACAAGGTACCGCCTCAGGGAATGGGGGCTAGGAAGCTGTGAGATACACACAGACACACACACACACAGACACACGCACACACACAGACACACACACATAGAGACACACACATACACAAACACACACACACTCACACTCACACAGACACACACACTCACACAGACATACTCACACAGACACACACTCACACAGACATACTCACACAGACACACACACATACACACACATACACAAACACACACACACACTCACAGACACACAGACACACACACAACACAGACACACACTCACACGCCCCTGCCTATACAAGGTAGCACCTCAGGGCATGGGGGCTAGGAAGCTGTGAGGTACACACACACACACACACACACACACCCCTAACTATAAATGGTAGCACCTCGTGGCATGGGGGCTAGGAAGCTGTGAGGTACACACACATACACACACCCCTGAGTTTTTTACTCTGAGCATGGTGCATCACCTTCTCCAGGCTCTTGGCCTTCCCTCACAGAGCAAGGCAGGCATAAGAGAAGGTCTTAGGGGCAATTTCTCCCACAGTTAGGATAATGGTTTTCCAAGTTGCAGAGAGAAGTTAACAGGGTTTCTCTGTGTGGCCCTAGCTGTCCTGGAACTCACTCTGTAGACCAGGCTGGCCTCGAACTCACAGAGATCGGCCTGCCTCTGCCTCCCGAGTGCTGGGATTAAAGGAAGACATGTGCCACCACCGCCCCACAGAAAGCTAACCTTTCTAAAGAGAGACCAGATCTCAAGACACTACCTTCCATAGTCCAGAAAGAAATAATCCTGGGAAACAGACTATAATAACAAAATATAATATAATAACATTTCTGGCCTGGAGCAAAGCTTTATGGCAGGCAAGGAAATTGAGAACTCCGAGTCCCTATAATGCCCCTCAACACAACCCCACCTGGGCTCTAAGCCTGTCCTGGGCACATACCAAACATTCTCTACTCCAGGTAAGATGATCTGCTTGGTGACCTCAGAATGCAAACCTAATCTGGATCCCTTACAGACACCCCTGCCATGTATGAACAGGGAGCGCAGCGCGGTTAGGCTGTTCCCTCCCATACTGGGAAGGAGAGCCTAGAGGAGTTCCCTCAGTCACATGCTCCTGAGGCTTCCTGCTCACCTTTCTTCCTGGTTGTGAAATTTATGGTGTGACACACAAAGGCCCCTTTCATCTCCTCCCCTCTTTCCCTCCTTTGGTGTGCTGGTGGAGGCGAGCAGCAGGCAGACGAGCAGTTAGCTGAAGACTGCTGAGGACTACCCTATTTTTTTTCTTTTTTCTTTTCTTTTATTTATTTATTTACTTATTTATTTTGTTTTTTTTTTTTTTTTTTTGGAGACAGCGAGGGTTTCTCCGTCTAGCTTTGGAGCCTGTCCTGGATCTTCCAGAGGACCTGAGTTCAGTTCCGAGCATCCTATAACTCCAGTCCCAGGGGGTCTAATACCTCTAGCTTCTAAGGGTACTTGTGCACATGTACTCAGACACACACTGAACACACACACATACACACACACACACACACACACACACACACACACACACGGTTAAAAATTAATTTTTTAAGAAATCTTAAGATTTGGCCAGGCAGTGGTGGCACATACCTTTAATCTCAGCACTCAGGAGGCAGAGGCAGGTGGATCTCTGAGTTCAAGTTCAGCCTGATCTACAGAGTGATTTCTAGGACAGCCCGGGCTACACAGAGAAACTCTGTCTCGAAAAACAAATTAAGTTTTTTATTTACTTACTTACTTACTTTTATTTTGTTTTGGAAACAGGGTCTTACTATGCAGTCTCGAGTGTCCTGGAACTCGCTGTATAGACCATGCTGGCCTCAAACTCATAGAAACCCACCTATCTCTGCCTCCCAAGTCTGGGGATTAAAGGCATGTGCCACCATGCCCTGCTTACTATTTTTATTTATGAACCTATGTCTGGGTATCATGTGCCTGCAGTGCCTGTGGAGACCAGAAGAGGGCAACAGACCCCAAGACTGGAGCAACAGATGGTTGCAAAGCATCATGTGGGTGTTGAGAATGCAATTTGGCTCCTCTGGAAGAGCAGCCAGTGTTTTTAATTGCTGAGCCATGTCTCCAGTCCCAACAATTTTGTTTATTTGTTGGTTTTTAAAGAAGAATAAATCTGAGGCTGGAGAGACGGCTTAGTGGTTAAGAGCACTTGCTGCTCTCCTAGAGGACTGGGGTTTGATTCCCACAGTACCCATATCAGGTGGCTCACAACCACCTTCAACTCTAGTTCTAGGGGGGAACCAATGCCCTCTTCTGGCCCCTGTGGGTACCAGTACACATGTGACAAACATGGACACCGATACATGCACATAAATAAAAATGAATCTGAAATAATGATAATAAATCCACAGAGGTAGACTAGAAGTGGGGAATGGACAGTAATTCCTGGGCCAAGAAGACAAGCGGGGCTGAGTCACCCCCACACATTATTACCCATTCATGATGCTTTTCAGTGCTGGCAATTGAAGCTAGGGCTTTGTGCACGCTAAACGCGCACTGTGCATAGCACTGACCATAGCTCTCTAGCCCACAATTTTAACAGACCAGAAGATGGACTAACCTCTAAACACACACGGACCCTGCCCGGATAGTAAATGGTGAGGCGGGGATTTAACTCGACTTCCTGGCTATGTAGCTGCTTAGAAAACTCACTTTTCTGTGCCTCAATGTCCTCACCTGTTAAATTGGAAACTGGGGTTGTGGAGGGAACATTATAGGGACTCGGAGACCTCCTCAATGTCAAATCATAGAACGGCTGCCGGGCGCGGTGGCCTTTAATCCCAGCACTAAGGATCCAAAGGCAAGTGGATCTCTGTGAGTTCGAGGCCAGCCTGGTCTACAGAGCGACTTCCAGGACAGCCTCCAAAGCTATACTGAGAAACCCTGTCTCAAAAAAAAAAAAAAAAAAAAAAAAAACTAAAAGCAGATGCTCACGGAATTATTGCAAGCAACTGATTTAATCCATTTACAGCTTGCTAGGACACAGCAACTGGCTGGGTATCAGTACCCAAAGTGCATTGCTGTTATAATTATGAGTATTCCTCCCCAATGAATCAAACGGATATATTTGGATGCTTTTTTTTTTTTTTTGACACAGAGCTGGTATCATTCAGCCTCACCCAATAAATCCAAAACAGATGTTTGTTTTTTTTCTCTTCTTGGGTAACCTTGTCTGAATTCTCGCTATCCAAAATCAAGAACTGAAAGTACTCACGAGGCCAAGGAGATGCTGAGAAAACTGCTTGCAAGGCAAGCCTGACAATGGGAGTTTGGGTTCCCAGCACTCCTGACAATGGGAGTCTGGGTTCCCAGCACTCCTGACCACGGGGAGGCTGGGTTCCCAGCACTCCTGACCACGGGGAGTTTGGGTTCCCAGCACTCCTGACAGAGCCAGATACAATGTCTCAGGTCTGTAATCGCAGTGCTCCCGTGGCAAGATGGGAGGCAAAGACAAGAACTCCCCTGAAGCGCGTGGGCCAGCTAGCCTGTGATCCTCAGCACCCCTGAAGCACGTGGGCCAGCTAGCCTGTGATCCTCAGCACCCCTGAAGCGCGTGGGCCAGCTAGCCTGTGATCC